GAAGACTGGCCAGGCTATGTTAGGAAATGCTGTTGGTTGTTCAGTAGTTTTGGTGGCTTTTGACCAGTGCTCCAGCAAGATGCTAGAGGGCATTATTCTGTCTTTTGAATGAGATTTAAAACTAGGTTCTAACCATTTCAGATTATTTTATATTCCATTAAACTTTTTGAAAGAACAGGGTGTTAACCTTTATGTCCTGGCCAAATATCAGTTCAGGCAATCATATTTTGCATAGCTAAATATCTTCTGTAGTTTCAAATGTACACTGTGACTTTTACCTGCTGTCCTAAATTATTTGTGTTAAGTTACTGTGAGCTGTTACGTAGCTGTTGTATTCCAATCCACCACTATCCAACTGAGGACTTACATATAGAAAGGGCTTTTTTCCTCTCTTGGGAAAAGAACTGAGAAAGTATTTGAACAAGTCTGATAAGAAATGTATTACTGATTTATTGTTTACGTGTAAGATTCATATGCAAAGTTTCTATATTGGGCATATTATTAATAGAAAAACAAACAATCCACTACATTACATTAAAAAAAATCAAAATCTCCAAACCTTTTCCAAATTGCTCTTATTAAAAATGTTGTTGAGTGTGAACAAGGGGCCAAATTTTGTCCCTATTGCATGATCATAAATCTGGAGTAACTTCACTGAAGCCAGTAGTTATTTTGGATTCATGCTGGTGTATTGATTGAGAATGTGTATTGATCCTTTTGCAGAAAACAAGAACAAGGGGACATTCAATGAAATGGGAAAACTACAGTAATACATTCAAACCTGATAAAAGAAAGTACTTTTTCATTGGATGCACAATTATCCTGTGAAACTCATTGTCCCAAGAGATCATCGAGGCCAGGAACTTAGCAGGATTTGGAAAAGTATAACAAGACTAACCAGAGTAATAACCTTACCTCTCTCATATTCTGGGACCAACATGGCTACAACAACACAGCAAACAGAGTAATAATAGTAATTACTAATTTATAAAAGAGCTCTGGAAGAGATATAAACCCACAAGCTTTGGGGCATAAACCAACCTCTAACTATTCAGATTTAGGAGGACACTTTCCCTGAGGGGACATTATTCCACAATTACTCACTGCAAGGTTTCTTCATCAGAAGCTGCTGGTACCTACCACAGTCACAGACAGGCTAGACTAGATGAGGGCCTACTGCTCTGATCTGGTATGGCGATTCCAATCATCTCATGTATTGAGAATAGAGTTTGGCCTGCTGCCTTTAATTTTTTTAATGACACAGCTTAATCATTTCATTTTTTGTAATTCTATAACTGGCTTCTTTTTAATTATTTAACATTTCTAACTCTGCTCTCGCGTATGATAACTTGATACAATAGTTCTGTACACGTCTGAACAATAGCTTTATGTGAGGAGCTTTCAATCAATATATAAGCTCCCCTTACTTGTGTATAATGATAGCGCACATTATTATTTTTATGTAGCCAAGCAGAGAAGCACTGTTCCGAGACAAGCAGCATCCCTACAAAGGGTTGGCAACAAAACATCCATATTCAGGCAGCACAAAATATAATATCTAAATAAAGTGATGAAAATTCAAGCCCAGTAGAAAAGATTCTTTTATCCTCTTTTACAAAAATGTCTAAAGTGAATTTTAAGCTTATGAACAGTGCTAGATTGAGAGCACTGGAGGCTTAAATCCTCTATTCTCAGAGCAGCTGCTACCAGAGAAGGCAAGCAGCACAAGACTTCTCACTATATTTTGAAGGCATTCTCTTTTGTAGGGTGAGAGGGCAATTCATTCTGCATGCTCATTCAAGGCCTGATCAAATCCCATCAAAGTCAATGGAAAAACTCTTTAACTTCAGTGGGCTTTGGATCAGGCCCAGGAGCCTTGGCCTCTCTGATGAAAATGATCACTGAAGTACTCAGTACTGCCAATTGTTATGGTGTATTATGTGATGTACATTTATGTTCAGTAGAATTAGACTGAGATTTCAACTCATTTCACTCAGGCCATCAAACAGATCTTGACTAGTAGGAAGCCTGTTTTTCAGTAAGAAATTCAAACAAATCTGAGCCAAAGAATGATTCTCTGGAATTGCTGAAAAAAAAAATTGGCCTAAATTTTCAAACAGATGCCCTATTTTTCACAGGTAAAGCTGGCAATTATATTGGAAGTCACTTCAAAAAATTTCAAACTGTAGCTCTTCAGAGGCTGAGACTAAAGTATACCTAATAAGAGTACAGAAACAATTGAGCAGCTGGGCATTCACTTAATTACATCTTCAGCATAAATGAGCACCTCATTTTGCAAAAACAGGAGTACTTGTGGCATCTTAGAGACTAACAAATTTATTAGAGCATAAGCTTTCGTGGACTACAGCCCAGTAGTCAACGAAAGCTTATGCTCTAATAAATTTGTTAGTCTCTAAGGTGCCACAAGTACTCCTATTGTTTTTGGGGATACAGACTAACACGGCTGCTACTCTGAAACCTGTCATTTTGCAAACTGTGACTTAAGCATGTAACTTCACCCTACTGCATGCTTAAAATACATTTGTTTGTATTCTGTGATTCTGGCACACGTCCCGGTATTTGTGGGATAAGGCCTTGATTGTCAAAGGTTTGTCCCACTTCTCACAAGACTATTAGGCCCTGATCATAGGCATAGTTTGACTTCTATATTTGGGAGGGGAGAGGGGGGAGTTCCAGTCAGGCCAAAGGAGCCACATGTGGGTGGGGACAAATTCCAAGCCTCCCCGATGCTTGCAGTTTTGGGGGAGGAATACCCCCCCTGCCACCTCCAAACTAGGCCCATGGCCCTGATCCTGCAAACTCTTACTGCGTAACTTGGAGTTATCCTACTGAAGTCAATGGAACTGTTCACATCCTACTCAGGCACTTAAGTGTTTGCAGGACCAGTACCTTTATATGTTATGAGTCTGACTTCACAGTATGAGTGGTGATAATGGTGTGAAGGCATTGTTTAAAACAAACAAAAGAACAAAGGCAAATAGTACCATACATCTAAACAGTACCATATGATGTAGACAAGACACCTTCAGGCAGTACTGCATTCCTTCCAGTGTTGGGCTGCCCTTCAGAGCAAAGACTCCATAACTCCTCCGTTTGGGGACGAAGTTTAAGGACAGTGCTTGAGATTAAGCCTGGTGTTGGGGGACCACAGCCCATTCCTTGTGCTCTATGTGGGAGTGGTGTGGGACCTTGAGGCCCACAGAGGAAGTATGAAGAGAAATAGTGGAAGCTGGCCTGGGGAACAGCCACTGGGCCCCAAATCCAATGGCAGTTGGACACCATGCAAATGGCATGGAGGGTTACATCCTTTACTCCAGCTCCTAGACTGGAAGGGCAGCTCTGGTGTGGTAGCCTAACTGCTTTTTTATGAATTCCTCCCCCCTGTGTTTATATATTCTCCCTCCTGGGGCACAAAAGGATGGGAGACAGTACTTTCCCTGGGGAATTGAAATTAGAGGGGATATTCAAATTTACAGGGAGGGGTTGGAAAATGACTAAACTGGGAAGGAGTGTAGGGCAATCCCTGATTGGGAGGGAGATGGGGTGTTGCAATCTCTGTTATCTCAGGGATGGAACAAAATATGAAGGATGAGCTTTTGCTTTGTGTCTCCTCTCCTGAGGCTGGGCTAAGGGGCGGGCATTTTGCTGTCATGAGGTTCCGTTTCCCCCTTCTGAGGATGGGGTAGGTAAGTGGGAGGGGATTTGCCGTGTGTTAGGCTCTCTCTCGGGAAGGGGCGGGGATAGGGTTTTACTGTGTATGAATGAGACATTTAAAATCTCCCTCGGCCACCGTGCCTGCCCTACTGGAGAGAGCAGCAGCCCCCGGCTTGGGGGAAAGTTCCTGCTCAGGCTGAGGGCTGCGCTGGGTGTGGGGGAGACTCACGGGCTCTTCACGTGCCCTCTGTGGCCCCGGCTCATTAGGAAGCATTTCCAGTGCCTGGGCCACAGCT